ACTATGACCTACTTTCATAATAGCTAGTGTTTGCGAGAGACATGTCAGATGACAAACACAAATTCTTCCAGGTCTAGGGGTAATGTGCATGTGAATTTGTATATTTGTATAAACACATAGAAAATCATAGCATACCACTTTATGTAAAATAAATAATTCTTTTACAAACTACGTTTAAAAACCCGTCTTAAACCCCTCTTTTCTGAAGTCGTTTAATTAATAAAACCTTCCCCTAAGTATAATAAACACTTTTCTGAACACCGCATCAAAATCGGTTCAGCCAATCGCGAGTTAATGACTTACAAACATGGATACATCTGACTAATAACCTCTTTTTTTGAAGTCGGTTAAAAATAAGAGATAAACTGCATGGGTACAATTACCTATGGGGTGTTCCTCGTGAATTTAATTGAACTGCGCTATAAACAAAACCATCTACTACTATTTTCTACATGTCTATTGACACAACAAGCCCACATCACATCGATGCTCGACAAAATATACAAATCTCGTAACAAAAACAAAATCCGCTGGGACAATGGCACTCATCATTATGAAAACATTAACGCACGTCGGCCTGCGGGGCGCCAATTATTTTTACTTGCAACCCCATCACGCGGTTATTATTCGCGTTGGCAACACTTACACTCGTTCATCATCGGTCAGTCGCGTGCGAGGCTGGGAAGCACGCGACTCCATGGGAGCTAAGCTTTTTAAAAACACTACATGTTTTATATTGAATATTGTCTCATCTGTTTGTTTATTATTCAGGGATCTGTTATAATTAGGCCGAAGAGTTTGTGGTTATACTATCCATAAAGGGCCTGTTCTCCCGATCAAGGTATACTCTGACTGACTTGACTACTTACAACACTTTTCGACAGTTTCCTGAAACTGGCTCCTTACAAGCTAGCTCAAATTACTTACAGTTAATTGTAAATCTAATGTTCCTCATCTTAAACGACAATAAAAAATCAAAGGTAAAAACTTAGATTTGCTCTCCAAAGCAAAACGTGTTACGCAATGTTTAATTTGAATTTACTTTCATCATATTCGTATTCTTATAAGTAGGTATTTCTTCATATAATATTCATTCCTTATTCCCCTTATTAATTCTCACACTTCCGCCTGTCTAACTTCGCAATGACTCTCAATTCTGCAGTTAGTTCTCAAGTACTCTTCTATTAGAACCTACCGCTACAAAATTCCGGTACCATGCTTCACCCTCAGCTAAAACATACGTTAAAGAAATTAATACAATTCCCACTGCATATTGATTTAAATCTGTGAAAGATTTTCTCATACTTATTAGTAAGACTGCACTCAGGAATCAGTGAACTTACAAAAACTTAAACAATTAATGCGCGACGGATCACCGGAGCGCGCGAACTCGCACAAAGGCAGCCATGTTTAACAAATAACCTTAATCTGGAATTCGCGCCATTGTCACACCCTGTTTACGGCGTCCGGCCGATTAAGCACCCAATATTCCCGCCCATTGTACGCTCGCCAGATTCGCCACTCAATCATAATAAAATTTGTGGGAATAAAGTCGATTTCTGAATTTTTCTAATTGTGAGAACGTATTTTTTATTCGTAATTGGTTTTCGACAGATGTTAATGAATTCAATTTTCAAACACTAATTGATATTGCGTTGGCACCATTGTTCTGGGGCAACTGTTGCAATTATTCGCGAAGAAACTTTCGCTGTAATAACGGCACACTCACTGTTATTATAAATTGTTATCCGCTTGTTAGATATTTCTTTACATTTTACAAATTGAAACAGACAGAATTATGACATGTCATGAGATATTTTTGTATGAATAGCCACAGAGAACGGATAAGTGTAATTTTATGCTAACGAACGATATTATATTTCTATGTATCTAGATAAGTACCAGTCTACGATTCGAAACTTGGAACCAAATATTTACTTATATCTACTTATTTTCATAATAACGAATGAAAGTGCCAATTCACCGAACTGTAATCATTGAAACATCCGGGTGATTGACTTTTCTTAAAAAAAAAACATCTTTCGAATATAATAACGTCCACTGTTTGTGTTTTCGCTTTAAAGGGTTTCTTACAAAGCAACACCGTACATCGCCGTTAGTCATCGAACGTATCAAATTAGCGTCAAAATCCTAAACAAACGGTCAATTGTTCTGAATATTGCTAATCCCTCCATAATACAAAAATAAACTATAGCAAAATACGAAAACATTGCGTTCGAATTGACTGTGTTTGTGCAACGGTGTCGGTTACCGGGCGAGGGGCCGCCCGAGGGCAGTGCTGCCAACCTCTCGGTGAAAACAATTAAAACTATAAAAGAAGGCTGGCTGGTGCCCGCGGCGCGGCTGTGGGAATGCACCCATTGTTTCTGATCTTATTGGTGTTCACACGGCGCGCGGGCAGACAGCCGGTGTCGAACCAAAACAATGCGATGTTGATTCGCGACCCAATCGGCCTCCACATATGGCGGATTTATTCCATTCCTGATACATGCTCACTGAGCCGAGAGTATTCCACCTCTGGGAGTTTGCCCGCTAATCATTAGTGGCGTGACACAATAAAACAATGATGTATGAGTTCGCTGATGTAATTGAACCACTGAAAGTATTCGACCGAATGGAAACATGTTTGATTGTGTACTGAACAAACTAAATATACAGCATCTGTCTCTGTCATCAGGTCTAGTGGCGTCTATCATGCAATGCATCCAATAAACAAGGGACTGTATGTTACACAGTGTAATAAAACAACATTCCAGATAAAAATACGTTTAATTGGCAGTGATGGAATCAACGAATGTTGTCGCTACGAAGTGCTACGAGACTCGTAGCGTGGCGTAGCACTGTAAATACTGGATTTGCAATGCTACCGACAATTTACAACTCGCAATGTCAGTTCTATATAAATAAATAACACAAATAAAATTGTCATTTTCTTTTACTCTCTTACCATACAACTTGAATAGTAATAAAACAGTATTTCATTGGCCGAGAAACCGTTAGCTTTAAGCGCGATTTTTCGGGTTTGAATTTGAACCCCGAATTAGACAAAATGTTTATCGGAATCTAGAATGCTGCATGACGCAAAGGTGAGTGATGTCTTTATTAAATACATTTCAATCTATAAACCCCTTCAAATGACAACAGACACGAGACATATCTTACGCCGTATAACAAGATAAATCATGAAACAGTTATCAATCGACCCCGGAAAAGACACCTCCTCAAGTAAACATTATCAACTCGATGAACGACCCTCGAGCGAACTCAATTTGCATACAACTGTCCGGTGTGGAACCTGATCGCGCGTATCGCACGTATTGCGCGCTCTAGAGAGGGCGCGCGTGCCGAATCGCGCGCGCGACATACTTCACCCATCTCCAACTCCCACAAGAGGTTAATTGACGCACGTGTTTAAAACTCCCATTGTTTGATAGATAAACGTGAAAATAGTGCTCGAGAGCACTTTGACAACTCCTTTGAACTGTCAATCTGACAGATTCTTTATATTTTTCGTCAACACCTGTAGGGTTGGTGAACTTTGGTTTGACTTGAAGATGGTGGTGGAGAGTAGGGTAGCAGTTTTTGTACAATTCCTTATCTGGGTACAGAAATTCTTGCCGTTTTGTTTTTTAACAGGGCCAAAACAACTATGACAATCTAAGTACCTATTTGCACCTTTCCAGGCTGGTCCTTGTGCTCCGAAGTTATTGGTAAAGGAGGGAAAAATCCTTATTTTTCTTCCCAAAAGAGAAGCACTATTTGAAGGGCTCCGACTAAAAAAAGGTACCTTTTATCCTCAAACCAAGGATCAGTCACGGTAACTTTAGAAATTATGTCAACTTTTTTTCTATTAATTTAATCTTGAATACTGCAACCAGTACTGCCATCTTGTGTTAAGTAGTCATACCATAAGTAGTGCCGGAGTTCCAGTTAGTAGCGCCACCTAGAGACGAATAGCTGTACTAAAAAGTAACTGGTAATTGAAACTACATAATAGATATTTTAACTAATCTACTTATTGTTAAAAAGGGAATATTTATAATATTACTTAAATAGACAGCTTTGTAAATGTTCTACGTTACACAAAACGTTGATTATGAAGATAGGTAATAACGTAGGTACTTCGTGCAAAATTTCCTAAAGTAAAACTTTCTCCGCAACTGAGTACCAATCTCTATTTTTCCGTCGCAATATTTTCTTAGAAATGTCACCCGTGAGTCTACAAACAAGCAACATGATCACCCGTAAACTGCGAAAGTAAGTAATTTGAAAAAGCTATAACCAGACCTTCAGTAACGAACAAAACATTTCTGTGCGGAGTTCAATATAAACTGGTAAGCTCTGCGGTCAAGTTACGAATTACGGCCGTCAGAGGACCAGGCAAATATTTGATGTCCGTAATTGTCATACGAGAAGAAAATATCCTTTTACTGCGTCCCTTGTGTGTAAAAGTTTACTAGCAGTGAAAAAAGATCTGCTACAGTGTTTTTATATTATTAGATGTCATATTTATTAGAGTTGTACCTTACACTGAGGGGGCCTTTGCTTATGTTGGGGACATGAATGCGAAACATTTTAAAATTTATGCTTTCGACTTGATAAATGGAATTATGAATTGTGTCAGTTATTATTATTAGTGATTAGGGATTTTATTGTGGTTTGTTTGTGCAAGCACAACTATTAAGATAAAGGCCTCGATTTCTGGGAAGGGTAAAAGTACCTACAACTATTGTTTTTTTAACTCGATTTTTATTAGGTATTAAAAATATCTACTTAATAGGTAAAAGCAGGGATTGGTCAATGTCCTTGGTACAGTCAGAGACAAACGAGTGAAATGCAAACTATTTGTAATTTACAGTACCTAACCACACTGATTTAAAAAATAAACGATTAATGTCATAAACGAATTTTCAATAGAAAGTGTATGATTTTTTGATATTTCAAAAAACTAATAAGTACCTAATTGGACGTTATACTGAAAATAATTTTCAACAATATATCATAATGAATATCCACAAGCTGTTCGACTACAAAGAGTACGTGAATGTGAACGGTATGATGTTTACTGACGAGCTGATATGTTTGCTACAGAATTCTTTAACTCTATTGCAAGTGGAGAACCACTTCATAAACATGCAATACTGGGGCCAAATATACGCCGTAGACACTGACTACCACATCGCCGTGGGCATCAACGCAGACGCCGTGGCCGACAGAAAATATTTTTACACCACAGACTTCAAATTCTGGGGCCTGTTACCCAAAGCGAAAAAGAAGTACAAGCAATTATCTCTACTCACCACATTCCCATTCAGAGGCGAACCGGCTTTGAAGATAAAAGTGTTAGACGAAGCGTTAGATGAGAATCACCCTGACAGGTGCACGATCATGAAAGAGGAAAGTCGCTTAGCTGCTACTATCAGCAACATTTCTGAGGAATCCGAAGTATGTGCTCGAGGACAGCTGATCAAGCAGCCGAGTGGCACAGTCGTTCTGAACCCGAATTTCTACGGTCTGACAGCGACAGAAGCAAAGCAGCTGAAGTCTTACCTCCACATCAGACCAGCTCAACATCGCTGGAACACAAACTTGCTCACAAGACAAGACTACAATTACAGCATGGATTTTCTCGATTCTATAGATCAGGATATTCCAAGCGGCTGTTGGAATCTCTCTATAGAACAATCGGGATCAATCGCGTATTTGAAAAGTCTGTACTGGCCTGGAATGATGTATTTTCATAAAGTTAAAACAGCTGACGCTGGTTTCCTCTATATAGGGAACGGACGTAAAAATTTAGATGTACCTTTTCTACTTTAATTTGTTTATGTTTCAATGTTTATTGTTGTCCATTATTATGAATACCTAAAATACCAGCATTTTCATTACCTTCTGGGTAAACAATCGAAGCTGAAAATTTAACAATTTTCATTCAGTAATGACCTAGCATAATTTTTAATTCTGGGTCCATATTATTATGTCGCTCAGAAATTACAGAGCGCCATCTCTAAATACATTCCGGAGCCGCGGACACACTTAATATGTTACCAGGGCTTCGGCTTGAAGCAGAAGTAGGAATGGAGTACAATATAGTTAATAATATAACGGGAAATTTATAGTTTTTAGTCAGTAAGAGACTGACACTCCCTCTCGCTTCATACAAAGCGGGAGAAGCCATTGGATGATTTCGCCCCTAAAAAAAAATTATAACACTATTATTGGTGTTGCCTTTGGTATATATTATATTATATTAGTATTTACATATTTAATAGACAATGAAAACTTGTGTTCTCCAACCTTCACTAATGGGCTTCGGGCCACCTTCCTAACTTCCATAGACAACCAAAATCGTATCGTATTTTTTATAACAACTTTTATTATATCTTTCCTGGAAAAAAGTCTAATTAGATTTGTTACAGGTAATACGAGGAGACAATGATTTTTGAATTCGAAATATCCCTAAGGATGGACTTTACACTATTTTGCCATACCCCTCTGTCCTCTAGAAAAAGCTTTGTAACAGCCAAACAAAGCAACAGCTTTGTTATTAATTAAATACGACCATAAACAATCTAGAGCATAGCGACTCACAGAGTTGCCACCGTTTGCCTCGCTCGGCGCGAGTGTTGCTAAATAAGAAATTAGAATATTAATTCTTCGACGTTGTTAAAGTTTTATTAGAAGGATAAAATATGTATGTTTCACTGTTTTTTCACCAAATATGATTTATAGTAGCCACAGACGATATAAATTAATTTGCACTGAGTAACTGATTAAAACTAGGCAACTTAAACTAGCAACATCGACATACGTCACATTCCCTCCCTCCGCTCCGCTCCGTTTTTCATTCGGTCGGTCGTTTCCAAAGAGTATAATAAGTATAGGGGATAAGAGTTGCCACTCGTCAAAAATTTATGCCAATCAATTTGAAACGCCATCTGAAAATTGGATCCTACTATATTTTTTTTTTTACTAACGTCTACAGATAATCCTAAGTATAGCTAATGCCAATACTACCAACAATGTACCTTGCAGGTTGGTACATTGAAGGTAGTATTGGAATTAG